AGTAACTCAGCAACCAGTAATACCAAGGTTTGGCAAAGATAGGAAATGACAGGAACTTTTAGATATTTCTTGTGGAGGAAGCATAAATTAGTACATACACTTTAGAAAATATTTTTATCTTATCTATTAAATTCAGAGATATACTTTATATACTCTACTCTTAGGGATGTATCCACCAGAAATATAGACTCATGTACACCAAGAGAAATGGATATCAGTATTTATGACATTATTTATAACAGCCTCAGAGTGAAAATACACCAAAAATTTATGTGCAGTAGAATGGGTAAACAAATTATGTTATTTTTATGTAACAGAATACAAGATGTAATCCAGATAATGAATGCTGAAATTTTACATATTATAAAAATTCTTTTTATAATAAAAAACAAATAAGCACATTGCCATTAATCCTCTGCAAGACACTCCTCCTTGCTTTGAACATACTTAACCCATTATTAGTGTCACTTTCAGAGTCATTTTTCGAAGTTCTCTTGTGTCTTTAAGAGGTATGATTAGAAACACAGAGAATGCTACAGACAAGTGCCATCCGATGGAAAAGCAGCCTCACAAAAACTCTACTGCCTGTATTCATTTATCTTATTCATAGAATCTGGTACCGTGCAACTTCTGGCTTGTCCCCAAAGTCAAAAAGGTAAATACTTCAATGAATTCAGGATATCAAGGCTACTCAACCAGACACTCACGAAAGAGTTTCCACAACTGCTTTAGATAGTGGCAAGAACGATGGGATACATGTGTATGAGGCAAGGAGTACCTGCAGGGGATTGGGGGGACTAACGGCACTGTGTCTTTTACTGTAATAAATTCTGATTTATTTTAAAATCTATGCATTTTTATCACACTCCATATATGGCAATGTAACTGAGACAATTATATAGGATGTATAGACCTTACAAACATAATAATGAACAAAATACCAGGTAGAAAATACTCTTCACCATTTTTCATACAAAATTTTAAAGTAACCTATTGTCTAAGTTCAAAAACCCCCTTACCTAATTCTCTCATATAAAATTAAGCACAAGTTAAAAATAAATTATGGTGTTTAGAGATGTTTATTTAAATACTACAACTACAAAATAAAGGGTAAAGTGATGAACCTGGTAATCAAAATGGTTATCTGGGGGTTGGGGATAAGGTTGTGAATTCAATTCCCAGTACCCCCCAAAAAAGGTTGAGTTGGGGAGGAGGGATACTTGCAGCCATCAAATGGTTCTGGCAAAGTTCCATTTCTGGACAAGGGTGTTAGATACAGATGTCTGCTTTGTATAAGCCCTGTTCTAGTATATATATTATATATATAATATATATTACATATATAATATTATAATATATATACACACACACAATTTTTTAAAGTTTAAAATTTCATGGAAAAATGACAGATGACTTACTGTTCAATAATCTTAGCAGCACCAAGTCCAGGTCTAGTCCAAGTGCCATTAAACTGTGTTCAGAAAATTTCTTCTAAGGATTGATGTAGCTCACTGATAAGAGTGCTAGCCTAGCATGTACTAGACCCTGGTTTCAACCGCTGGTGTGGCAAAAACAAACAAATCAGCAAAAAACAAAACTTTTCTTCTAGCTCAAGAAAAGTAAGGAGGAAGAGATGAAGAAGAAATGTATAATGAGGAAACTTAGAAAATGAGGACAAGTGGCTGAGAATGAAAAAAAGAATGAGAAAATAGGTTAAATATAAAAACACACCATCTTTCAGGACCATTCTTGTTATCAGGCTGTAAAGCCAACTGTACCACAGGCATAACTTGATTTGATTATAAGTTGATAAGAGGTTGAAACTCAACCCTATTAGTGATCAGAGAACAACTATCTTAACCTAAATTCTTATTTTAACTACTTATAAATTTCCTTTAGATACTTCCTTGTAGAGTTAGAACTTTTTTCTTCTCAATTTTTATTCAGTTCCATCACCCCACAGCTGAAAGTTATCTGAAGAAAGTTCTCAAATGCTCAGAGTTTTTAGGCAGAACAAAGTATACATTTCACATTTTTTAAAAAACTTGACTTCAGTTCCAAATGAATAACTTCAAAATGACTTCATTTCATTACAGACAGCTAAGTATGGTAGAAATATTATAGGCAGTCAGTGCTATGTCTTCAAGAGTCAGGACAAAAGGTGAAATACTACAACTGTGGCTAGAGATGCATAAGTTAGGGGCCGGGCCTCTAGATAACAATGGAAGGACCAGCCCTATGTACTCTGCGAGGGTTAGTGTTAATCCCTGGTCTAATGAAGTCTAGCTAGACATCAGAGCCCTGATCTATTATCTATCCTTCTTTGTTCTTTCCATGCACACTTGATACAGAACTTGCTTCCCCAGTGGATCAATATTACCCAAGCAGGGGCTGGAGAGATGGCTCAGTGGTCTAAAGCACCTACTTGGAACAAGCTTGGCAAAGCACAGGGACCGCGGTTTGATCCCCCAGCACCACATGCCAGCCAGCCCCTCCCCCTGGTGGGCTGAGCTGGCCACACACACACACACACACACACACACACACACAAAATAAATAAATAAATGTTTAAAAAAAAAATATTACCCAAGCAGCTATACTTGTAATCTTACTGGCCAATCATCATTGCAACCCACATTGTACCCATGTGAGTGTGCTCTATAAAACTTACCCCAAGAAGTAGGTGTCCTTAGGTAACTGCTTTCTAGGTGTCACCATGTGTCCTGCTCTGGGAGGAGCTTTCTATCCCTCAATAAATATTTCCTACTCCTAACCTTTGCTCCTAAAATTCATTCTTCAATTTTAGTGAACACAAACACGGCATATCAAACATCTAACAGGTTAGGAGTTATATACCCTTATACTATATCTGGAGGTCTTGATATGATTTCCTATATCAAATTTAAAACCTAGTATAAACAGAAGTAGCCAAAGCAAATGTCTATTTTGGACTGTATTTTAAGAGAGCTGAAAATCAAGTGAGCAATACAGGATTCTGAATTACTGGTAGAGGCTCTCCGGCTTGTCAAGAGAGGTGGTATGTCAATTTCTTCTAGAAGGGAAGAGTCCTTACCCTACTTCCATGCACTTAGCTGCCTAACAGATCCTCTCACTTGTTCTCTGAGTATATGTCAAACTTCTAGAAAATGCTAGAAAAGGGAAAGAAGCTGGTCTAGAAAATCTTGCCCTGGCCTTAATCTTAGTCTTTGTAATACATACTGTACCAACAAAACTGATCTTCTTTCTTCCCAAGGAGCTCAAATGGTTTTAGAACATTTTCAATAGGTATAAATTGTTAAAGGTATTTAAAATCTCTACTCTCTCCTTTATCAATAAAGCAACTCCAAGGATCAGTGTTGAAACATACGCATACATGCATACACATCACACGAAGAAAAAAGAAAAGATAACCTACCTACATAACAGAGGCTTTCTTTCCCTCATATGACTTATTTTCTGACAAAGGCCTTTGTAAGGCTGTAAGATGAAGTTACTCTTACCATTTTCACATTGTTTTACATACCATGATGCTGATGTCATAGCAGGCAAGCTGTCAAAGTACTTTCAGAAATGTTACAATAAACCTGCTTCCAAAATATGTAATATATTCACAACGTTACACCCAAGGATTATGAAAGAAGACAGGGGCACAGATGTAAAGACAAAAAATATAGACATCATAGTTAAAATTCTGATAGCAATGGCTTTATATTATGTAACTGACTGCAATGTATTTTAACATGTTTTTAGGCATTTTGCTTTGTAGCTACCAAAGAAAATAGCTGATAAAGAAGCCTCACTCTTAAAATGAAGCTGTCCAACTGACTCAAATACTGAGAAGCCAGGAAAGACCCAGAAACACATAAATAGGTCACCATCAACTCTACACGTAATACTGCTCACAGGAACTTCACTATCCCTATGGATAAGATAAACGCCACAGAGAGCTGGATATGAATTTTAATGGAGCTACTAAGACCTTCACAAAAATAAAAACATTTTTTAAAGGCTAAAAAGCCAGGAATTTGTGAATCCAAAAAACGTACAGCGTTTAAGCATATTTTAGTATGTCATATCTTATTTTAATCAACTACCAAAGACACACACTTCCTCCTTTGTATGTTCCATCCCATGAAAAAAGTATTTAATACTCATTGGCATTCAGTGTGAGTGTTGGAGGCATTCAATTTTGCCTCCAACAGGATTATCAGTGCTACTTTCTCCATTCTGACATGGGCATGTTCAACTCATGCTCAACAGCAGTTTTCTATACCCCTTAATTATCCTCCACAATCAACTTTGACTCATCATCAAGCCTCTACCATCCACAAAACCCACATTTATATCTGCGAAGTCTCCTTGCAGAGGAAGGAAACTGCAGTACTGAGTTCTCCAGACAGGCGGGCGTATGAGGAACACTTCTTCAATTGTTCTCTGCTTGGCAGAGAGAAAACTAGAAAGCAGACTGTAGAGTTCTCTAAGAGCAGAAAGGCTGTGTCACCAACACCTTTTGTGGCTCCCTAATAAACGGATTTACAGTTCAGCTGCAGTTATTCACGTTTGCTCAAAGAGGTTCTCAGTACTCTTTGGGATCCACCCATCACACAAACAATGATTTAAACCAAACGAAAACAAAACAGTGACACACTCCTGATTCTTTCCTTTAGGAAGTAAGATATGAAATAATCTGGTGACTAGCATGGGGCTTCTCCAGCATTTTCATTTTCAGAACCTCTGAACAGTGTTCAAAGAATCCACAGGATTTAATTAGCTCTGTGCATACAGGGCTGCTCATGAACCTGACAGAAAGCTGACTGCTCTAAGTACACCATGTATTCCCATAAGGTTATCTTTGATTACTTAAAAGTCCTAAAACTCACTGTCAAAAAGCAATGAAGTCCTGCTCTGTAGAGACAAAATTAAAGCCCTCACTCCTCATATTCTACTTCTTGTCATGTATTTGTAGTCAATAATAAAATGCTTGTCTGAGGAGCACTTACTTCATTGTCCGACTCCACAAGAACTTGATCGTATTCACTAAGCGCTACTAGAAACATGATTGAGGTGACATTTTCAAAGCAGTGTATCCATTTTCTTCTCTCTGATCTTTGGCCCCCTACATCGACCATTCTGCAAAGTTAACAATATTCATATTAACAGTATGTAAAGAAAAACTTTAACATATCAATGTAAATACAGCACTACTTATACAGGCAATGGACTTCCAAGTTAGCTCACACAGTATTTGACTATCTACTAATTTTCTATTACTACAGAAAATTAAAACATTCTGAGAAATAAATTACTTTGGTGATTATTTACAAATTACCATATATATATATATTTGTAATTTTGTAAACAAAATCTTTATCTAGGCCAAGCAAGATAGTAATTTCATTTCATTAAGCACTGAAGAGTCAAGAACAAAAATGAGTCTTATTTGTGTTAAATCATAATAACAAATCCTAAATTTTTCCTTTAACTCAGGATAAAGATCCTCATATTTCTTGAGGATAAAGGGAATGGCCATGTTTTAAGATGTAAGATGTAAGATGTTATACATCTCAGCAGCTTCAACTAAATGCAAAGATGACTCTGCTTATCATTCATTAGTACAGTAAATATTTTGAGCTTTTTTTTGCCCTCCTAGTATCAGAAATAATTTAGGACAGGCCCATCCATGTCGAATTAAGTTGGTATAATGAGCCTTGGGCACAAACCAACTTGTTAGCCTGCTCAAAATGAAATGTGGCATAAGATAACAAGATGCTACAAGACAGCCTGGTGTGGTGGCACACACCTGTAATCCTGGTACTCAGGAGGCTGAAGGAGGAGGAAGGTCATGAATTTAAGGGTGGCCTGAACTACATAGCAAAACTGTCTCAAAAAAAGCACAAGATGCCACACAGAGGCTGTCATTTTTTTTTTTTAAACACATGAGCTCAGTCAGTGACCACTCAGATATTAACACTGACATTAATAAAGGTGCATGCTTTCATATATATGAAACTTTCTAACAGTGCCTAGAATCAATATTTCAATTGTTGAATCCATCCTTTCATTGAAATGTACATGTTCACAGGAAAACACTCAAAATGACAGGTTTAGCTATAAAAGTTCAGAGTAGGCCTCTTTAGGCCTTTGCTGAAAATGGTAGTTGCTCCTAGTGTTTTCCTAATAGAATTAAGCCTAAACTAAGAATTTCAGCAACTTTTAGTAATTGCTTCTAAAGGTTTCAAAGTCATGAAAGAGAAATCTGTGGGGCAAATTAATGGTTCAAAGAGAACTTCTCTAAAGCCCTCATGTGTACAACACACTGTCCATTTACATGAACCCCTCTTCCACAGTCCTATCACACTGGACCCCACAGGACACTTCTCATGTTGGAGAAAAGCCCACTTGTAGTCACTAGTGCTTTTACTGTAATGGCAAAATGTGTCCTTCAAAAGCTGGTCCACATAATGTGGGAAAAGTAAGATACAATACTAACTTGGTTCAGAACTAACTGTGAAGCAACTGAATGTGAAAGTCCCTATGAAATACTACATGGATTCACAAAGTATTCTATAATGTGGTTTAAAAAGGGAAGAAGCTTGGGTGTCTCAAATTTAAGATCTGTAAATGTAAGTAATACCATATGCCAACTCTATAGCCATTTTACAGATGAAAAAATTAAGGCTCAGAAACAGTTTCAGAATTCCACTCATCATATACATCAGTGTATAACAGCCAGATTGTCCACCAAGTGCAAAGGATGATTTAAAAATGGTACTTTGGCAAAATGATGGTGTGTTGATTGTTCAGGCACACAGTTGGCAAAGTTGCTGAACAACTAACTCACTTCATAACCTGGTATTTATTGTACACATCACGTCCAGGGGGTGGCTCTGCTGAGGAGCTCCGACATGTACGGATGCTCAACTCAAAGGCAGACTCACCAGCTTCACTTCTTCAATCACCACGTAACTTGTATTCTAACAGTACAATGGAGTGATTGTGTAATAACAGAGTAAATAAATGCATATCACTATTTTTACTTTTTCTCATTTTAAGAAAAAATAGAATACTTTGTTGTGGAAGTATTATCCAGACAGAACAATAGCAGCAAAAGAGGAGGTATTATGTTTTCATCCTATTTTGCTACTTATATTTAGACTAGGATAATTAATTCATTTTCAAAATCATGAATCTTGAAAAAAAGTCAAGAAACTTAAGTTTTATTGCTACTGAAAAATTTTGTGTTGGTGCCAGGTAATGTGGAGAAAATATTAACACACAAACTTTTGAAAACATAATTTCTATTATGATAGGGTCATAAAATCATATCTTGTATAACTATGAAAATTACCCATTGTCCTTATAGTTCCATGATTAAAGAAACACTAACAATGTTGAAATGACTAATTTTCTGATGTATGTGGGACAACTCAGGCTAGCCTTGAGCTCACTTTATGTCCCAGGTTGGCCTTGAACTCAAAGCAATCCTCCTGCCTCAGCTTCCTGAGTGCTGGGATCACAGGTATGCCCAAGAGTTCAGTAACTGATTTTTCTTCACCATCAACAAAGATATCATTAATTGCTTGGTAAGTTAAATTGGCAAGAAGCCCCTGAGTATATTCTCTTTCTGCGTTTCTTTCCAGAGTATATTATTTTATTTGTTTCCAATGACAACAACTCAAGTAATGCTATGTTGTTTTAAACCCTACACTTGATCTCAATATTTACAGAGTTCATCAAATGTACTCAAGGCATAAAAACAGAAAAAAATCTCATAGATTCAACTACTACCTGAAAATGACACTTTGTAAGTCAAATGGATATTCGATGATCCCTGTAGTGGGGACTCGAACTCTTAGCACATCTTGTTGCGTAGGCAGATAGGAAGGATCAGCTACACGGTCCAAGTCATTCAGATAGCTAAGGAGGGAAGACATAATGAGAATGTCAGTGCCATAATCACCCAAATCCATGGAAAGGGAAGGGCAAAATGAATCGCAAGAGAAATGAAGAAAAAATATGAGAAAGAGGTAGAGAAGTTAGAGCAACAATGACAAACCCAATCTTTCATTACATAGAAGCAGGTTATCTTTCTCTGGGTGATTTATTCACCACATTTCTCAGTTGTTGCCTATTATAGAACCCATAAAAAAAAGGTGGGAGAGAAAAAGGTTAAGAAATTCAAATTATATAATCTTCTATACTCTACTCAGCAGGTGTGGTTGATAAAGCAGGAGTTTAAAACAAATAGTTCTAAATTGTTTATACAAATTTAATTTGTATAAGTAAACAGATAACAAAGTTACATATAAGAACAAGATGTTTCTTCTTTTTTTTTATTTTAGAGAAGGGTCTACAGGGTGTTCAGGGTCTCACTACTAGCCTGGACTCGTAGTGAATCGCCTGTTTACAGCCTCCCAAGAGCTGGGATTGTAGGTGTGTGCCACCACACAGTCTCAATTGCCATCTTGGCCCAATTTCAATTGCTATCTCAGGGTGCCCCACGGGCAGGGCTGGCACAGTGGGCCCAGGGATCGAACCCCTGGCCCCTGTGTCTGTTTGCAGGCACTTTAATCTGCTGAGCTCTTTGGCTGGCCCAGATGTTTCTTCTTTGCAGCACATGGAAGTCTCTTCCTGTAATGAATTTTCTTATTCCCCTAAGAGAAGACAGCAGAGTACTCTGGCCTAAATTCTGCCCAAAGCCTAAGTCATTCATGATTAATGTGAAGCCACAAAATTTCTAGTTACTAAAGTAATAATACATAAGGTCAGATATTCTCAACACTGAGGTTCACAACTTAACTTTAAATATCTCTGGTCATCATAATTTTCTATTCTCTTACACTTTTTATTTGGAAATAATTTAGACTCACAAGTAACAAAAACAGAAAATTTCCCTCTACCTTTCTCCATCTTTTTCTAATAATATCTTATAAAACCAGGTAACTGACAGTAATATCAAATTATTAGCTACATCATAGACCTTATTTTGAGTTCACCCACATGCATGCATGAGTATATATGCATACATCAAATATATGCATGCATCTAGATCTGGAGTATTTAGTGCTGTGTTATCACATGTAGAGGTTCATGCAATCACTACCACAGTCAAGAAACTGCCTTGTTATACTTGACAACTTCAACCCCTGAAAGCTTCTTGTGTGCTCCACACCAGTATAATTTTGTATTTCCAAAATCTTCTATATAATTTTTAAGCTTTCCAACAGTAAGCATCATTTGCAATGTTGAGAATCATGTAACTGGATAGAACTGATGATAGCCAGGTGAAAACAACTGTTGTAACTGTTATCTTTTTGATTTTTTAAACATGTTTTCCTCTGCCCTCTTCAGAGACATGTTTCAAAACACAAAACTGTGTGCACGAAGTTACTAACTTGTGAGTAAGGTTTGCAAACAGTGGAACCATTATTAGAAATGGAAGGAGTCAGATATAGCCTTCAGCTCCTTTGTGATCAGAAACAAACCAGTGAATCCTGTGATATGTAACAGGGATGCTACTGCACAGAAAGTACAAGCAGCTATAATGCAGATACTGTACTCAGGTGATGTCATCTGCCCAGGGTAAGGGCTCTGTCTTAGCCATTTTTATTTCTGCCTAGTGCCAAGGAACTAGTACTTAATGAACATATGTTGGATGGGTGGATTTGCTATACTGTGTTTTAGTTGTAGCACTAAATTTCATTCTTACTAGTGGTGACTCCATATCTTAAATTTGAGACTTCAGTGTTAAAGGGAAACATGATGTTAGTTTATAAGATTCTGGAATCATAAAGTAATGGTACCAAGTATGACTTGAACTAAGAAATAGTTACTGCCTTTTTGGTAATATATCAATCTTTTAAGAAAAAAAAATGTTATCAGCCTAGAAATTCCCAGTGCAAAGCAAATAATTCATAGTGTGGAAGCCTTATGTAGATCACATGAGTGATTCACTAGCTGTCTGTTAGCATTCTACTGACTAATTAGAATCAACTGAGAAAATACATAAACATGACTATACGTAAGATTTTAGTCAATTATTTAGCACGATCATGGAGCTGTCTGATAAGGTTAGTAAGCTCACACTCTATGAGTTGATCTATATCCCATTCTTTAGGTAAACTAAGCCCATCACATATTTAGAGTCAATTGGCTGCTTAATACCACTAAGTTTTCTGGTACCTTCATCTAAAAAACCCGAACATACATTCTGAAATCCATAAAAATCACCATTAATTTAACTATTATACAAAAGAACTTACTTCAGGTAGAGCAAAGAACTTCAAAATTACACTGGCAAGCAGACTCTAAAAATACACTGTCCACTTCTATTCACTTACTGCTACACACAAAAGTTAGAACAAAGGATTGCTAATTCACGTATATAAGGCACTTACTGTGAGGTAAAGAGAAATCGTGGTTTTCTGCTTCCTGAACATGAGCCAGCAGATCACGCACTGCTATTTATTTAAAAAAACAGACATGTGTCTACAAGAACTGAAAGCACCAGCACATGCCACTGGGTGTGGTGGCATGTGCTGTAATTCTGTGGTGGTGATGGTGGTGCAGGAGGACCACCAGTTTGATCCCAGCCCATGCCACTAGGCAAGATCCTATCTCAAAAGGGAAGGCGGCATTGAATTTCTACTATCACAAAGGCAAGAAGGTAGCCAAGATTCACTTCAGGTAAGGCCATGGAGTCAAAATCTTTGGGGAAAAAAAGCATGTACGGTGGGAAACTGTTACATTGCACAGCAGGAGCAAAGATAACTATGGGTATGCCCTGAGCTCTCTGAGAAACATTTGGATAAGGTGGAACCCAAGTGCTACACATGCAAATGTAAAACCACATCCAAGGGTTCAGATGCTACTCTCAAAAAACTCCAGGAACCCAGGGTCCTACTCAGATACCTAATTTCGTAAAACATTCACACTGTAAGAATACTTTTTATTCTTTTTAGTTCCTTTTCAGTGGCAGTACAGTTCACACAGAATAAAAACACTGAGCATGTGCAGTTTTGCAGGGTCGCAGGGACTGCTCATTGTCATGGTACCAATGTATTTCACTGTAATGTTCATATTTCAATGTTCTTCAAAGATATTCCATATACTTCTAACTTGAAAGTGATAGTTCTTGGTCAACTTTCTTTTTTCCTTTGCCTCAGTTGAATGATGAAGAGAAAAACTCCCTTTATGTGGTGTAAAAAGTTAAAATTAATCTAGTTTAGCAGAAAGGTTTTCTGAAAGGAACCACAGCAATTCTGCTATTTCCAGCACACATCATGTAGGGCACAACCCAAAACAAGGCAAAGAAAAAGAAACCAAAAGCAGATTCCTCAACCAAACAGTAGATGTACACACTACTTTTCTCCCATTGGAAGCTCTGGGTGGCTACCCAGGACTGAAGATACAATTTGTGAAGCAGATAAAGCACAGAGGTGGACTATCACAAGGACTATCACTTTTTCACTGCCAATGAGTGAGAGCTGGTGTGCAAAGAAGCTGCTTGCAGAACCAGTGATTCCACCTGCTTTCCCCACCCCGGGCTCACAGGACTCAAAAGATGAACCTGCAACACTTTCTATATTTCACATTTGCCAGGAGGGAAAAATGCCGCTCTGTTCACTTAGAAATGGAGCTCTCTGGCATGGTCAGATTAGCAGATCCTCACTTGTTAATGTTTGTCACATTTTGAGAAAAGGTAATAGAAAAACGTCTGAACTATACCTTCCATATAAAGTATTTCATATTCTGAAGGACAACTAGTAGAATCCTGGGGTGAAGGTTCTACTGCATTATTCATTTAACCTTTTAAAAAGAAACTTCAAGGTCTGAACAAATTTATATTATAGGGTAAATTCAGAGTTAATTATAGTCATAATTTGTTTTGAGGGAATAGTTCTGAGTGGTTGTTGAGGTCATTCTTAGGGTGTTGCTATGGCAACAGGCCCAGGTACATTTCCAAGGCACTGTCTGTGTAACAAGTGGCTGATGTCAGGGAGAGAAAGTTGACATGGTGTACATGGGATTTAATTATCTAGAAGACAAGCCATTTTTAAGAATACATTTAGAAAGACCTTTCACTGGTTTAAATTCACCTTATTTCAATCCCTTTATAGGGTACAACTTTTTATTGCATTGACACATTTAACAATTAATCACTGACACATTTAACAATTAATAACTTATAGCAAGTAATAAAAGAATTCAACATTTGTCCACATGAGTTTGCCAGGTCAGTTGCGGTTCTCAAACTCAGTGGTAAGCTGCGTAACAGCTTTGTTCATAGGTTTATCACGAACTCTTGGCTGAAGGGCTAGGACACATACAGCAGGTGCACAGTATGCCTCTCACAGCTGTTCTCAGGAAGGCCTGCTAGTAGTTACAAATGCAAGTTTCATTCTTTGGGAGGAAACATAGGAGTATAGGAGGTCATGAGCTATTCATCTTTTTGTATTCACCCATGGGGTCATTACTAGTTTGCATTATTACATAAAAACTAAAGTCTCAATTAAAATGCCTCTGACAAATTTAAAGACAACACAGTAAGGAAAGGTGTCACTGGCTTATCTTCAGTTAGGAGGCAGATGTACTTCCTGGTCGTCTTTAGGTGCTGGCTACCAATGGATAGAATTTATGTGTTCATCTTATACCTGTTGGAGACAGGCTTTTGGGCTTTCAAGTTCTAATCCAGTACAAACTGCAGAGGTGGCACTTCAAAACAGACATTTCTGATATCATCTCTTTAATGAAAGAAATACATTTTGATGATTTTCTGTGAAAAATAAGGCAAAGAGGGGCTTGGATAGTAATATTTTGATACCTCTTTTGTACTGCTAGCAAAATGCAGAGTCATGTGGAATTTAACAACATGTTTGACAGAATTAGGGTAGTTTTTTTTTTTTTTTTTTTTTTTT